GTCAACTTTTATTATTTATATCCACGGGGTTCATAATCTATTGTTACCAATGGTGAAATCAGATTCAAATTTATAGTCTTTAATCACGTCGTAGTAGAAGCAAATTTTGTGGAAGGTTTGATAAAAATAGTAATTGTTCCAACTCATGTTCCAAAAGATGATGTGAAGAGTATACCACGAACAATGTTTAAAAAAGGCTTAATTGGGCACCGAGGCATAAGCCTCAAGATACAGTAATAAATAGTTCAATAAGTGTATAAAAGCACAAAATATGCTTATAATAAATCATAAAAATTTTGTAATAAAACAAATTAACAAAATTAAAAGTTCAGCTTGCAAAACATAAAATAAATCAATGAAAGAGAAAAAAATAGACCCAAAGGCTAAGGCCAGTAATAAATGTTTGGTAAATGCAAGACAAACACGCAAACTTAGTCTTCTTGAGGCTTAGCCTTTAAGTTGACGCGCAAGCTTAAAAATGGCACTTAAGGGGTGGCATTCATGGTGTTTTCTGAAAGCCTCAGGTGAGGTGGGATTTAAGCCGTAAGCCTCAAATAGTTCTTTAGACTGACTAATAATACCAAGAGAAGAGACGCATCAGAAAATTTTGCATCAAATTGAAGAGAGAACTGGAAGCAAAGAAAAGTCAGATGCTAGAAAAAAGTCAATATTGTCAACAAAGCGCCAAGCAGAGATTTTAACAAAACCACAAGCAGTAGATCTCTATTCGACTCTAGGACACTAGACTCTCAATACTCCATACATGTCCTCGCGAAGAATAATTTTGACGCATACAAGGACTGCAGTGCCAATATTATTCTGATAGGCAACGATGATAATAGCACTATCAGAATATGTAATATAAAGATCAGATTGCACAACAGATGGGTAATGTACGCCATACTCTAGAGTCATGAGGCAACGAAAAACTTGGATCATTTTGAAAGGATTCTCAATGCTACAGTAAGCAAATGGTCCATAGTGTGATGGAAGGGGAGAAAATGGGAAATCTGTCCAAGCTACTTGGAGAAACTATATTACAGGTGGAGTTGTTGCGGTAACACAAGAAAACACACCTGTGACAATAGGTACCGCATAAGAAAAACTAGGTCAACTCAGTAGCAATGGTTAAACAAGCTTCGAGGATGAATATCTTACTGTTACGTGCAATCTAGATTTTTGCAAATTTTGTGTACTTGGGAAAGAAAATAAGGGTAGGTTTTAACACGTAATTCCACGTAGAGATCAAACACATAAGAGGACAGAATAGCTTAGCTAACTGAAGCCATCGTCCTCTATTAAGAAATACAAAATCTATTGCAACATAATGTATTAAAACTGATTGGTTAAATTTGTCGCAACTAATCATAAAGTACCTGGTAAAGCCGCATTTCGAATCGAGGACCAATCTCTTTTAACTCTATTGATTTAGGACCTCCACGTTTCTCATAGATATGATGCCTGTTTAATTTAATAAACAATTAGTAACACAGTGGTAAAAGAAATACTCATGCACCATTTATGAGCAATTCAAGTTGGTGCATAAATCAGTAAGTTTGCATATTTTAGAAGAAGAATACTTGATTATATCTCTGTTCATCTAATCCTTAGCCTCTGTTTGATTCCCTTTAAAACAAAACAATCTATTTCACATATTTATTTTCAATCACGCATTCACATAATAAAATATTTTACACATAAACCCAAAACTTTTACCCACTTTTTAACCTTGCATTCTCCAAAAAAATCACTACTCAAAACATCAATTTTGCATAATAATGGCCATCAAACAGGGGCTTAATAAACTGAATGCTCATCTTATCTTCATTGTTTCGATATTGTCAGTTAAAATTAGGGTGTCAAATTTCTTGTCTAGTCAAAGACACGACTGTTTTTTATAAAATTCTTCTTTTGTAAAACAAATATCATTTAAATGAAGTACTCAAACTTCGAGATTTGACCTCAATTCTTTTAGGAAAAATTAGGGCTGGAATCCCTAACCTTTGAAGGAGTGTGGATATGGATCCCAAACCTTTAAAATCGAGGACATAGGTCCTCAACCTATATAGTGTCGCGACTTTGTACAGAAAGCATCCATTTAATGGTTAGAAAGTCCAAAATTGGGGTGAAAACAGATTATACCCTTCCATTGAATAGCATTAAAAACATAATTAAACTACCCAAAAAAAAAAAAAGGGAAATTAAGAAGAAGAAAAAAATCGAATCTACTTCTACTCAATCCCTTACCCACCCCATACCAAAACCCACCCCCAAGTTGCTACCGACCGTCCGATTCAACGTCTGACACCAGACATTGCAGTGCTACAGCCACCGCCAATTGCCTCTCCACCATCCTCTATACGTCTACCTGAAGGCATCCTCCACCTGATCATCTTCCAACTCCTACTTCACCAAATCACTTTAGTGTTCAAGACAGTTTGCATCTGTCAGATCTATAAAAAACCTAATTAATCCACTTACATAGAATCTACTTTCATGTGTTTCAGAACATGAAAATTAAATTGAACAGCAACAGTTGGTCAACTGTTAGAGAGAGACATGAGTATGGAAAATGAGAAACACCATCAAGAACCATTGCCTACACCACTTATGGTGTTCTATTCATTTCATTCAATGTTGGCCAGTTTCTAAAACAGCCCTTGACCTCATAACTCCAACCCAATTTGTTACCAGAGATCAAACCTTAGTGATGGAGTATTAGAAGGGATATTCTTATAACTAGTTTACAATTTTAAGGCCTATTTTAGGAAACATAACTAGGGTTTAATTTAATAGCCTTTATAATTTCCTCTGCTTAGAATAGAATTATTGAATCTCTATATAAAGGAGTCTTATGCTTTATTGCTTTATAATAGAACAACTTTTGATGATGAAATAAATTAATACTCTCCCCCAATTTCTCTCTATTCTCTCCCTCTTCTTTCCTCTTTTCCCCCTCCCTTCTCTTCTTCTCTTCCCTTCCCCTACAATTGTCCTACTGCATCGTACATAGACTTGGTATTAGAGCTCAATTCATTTCCTTTGGCCAACATTCCATCCACCACAAAAACCTGCACAAGTTCCAAACCATCTATGTACTCAACCCACCACCCTCCACCACCATAAACCTACATTAAATTATACCACCAGACATCACCCACCCCAGGTTCAGCTTTAAACAACAGCTACAACAGCCAAAAAAAAGAATAAAAAGGGCCAGTGCCCATAAACCATTTATAAACCCCACATAGAGCCCAAATATACACACAAGCCCCCTACTAAGCCAATCAGCAAATTACCTAAAAATACCCAACTAACAAAGCCCTATTACCCAGCCCGACTAAAACTCGGGCTACCCGGCCCAACACACCTCACATTCCTTCAACAAACCCTAAGACTGCCACCGGCCATTCCTCTCACAGGATAAACACTGGGTCATAACCTGCCACCACAGTCCCGACGGCAACTCCAGATCGTCGGTAACAACCCAGTGCTGCATCTTCCACCACAATCGCGTTTGCCCAACCCATCTTTCAAACATTCACCAGACTCATCTCACTAGTCAACATTCACCAGATCCATCTCACACTGGTGTCTGCACCCGTCCATGCTGCTGACCAACCATTCATCTGATCAGCACTCCGAACATCAAGCAAACCCTAATCCAAGCCACACGAACTACCCATATTCACAAGCGCACAGAGCATCCCACAACCATCCACTCTGTTCAACGTCAAGGGCTACATATTTGATCGTGGCCTACTCTCCTAGCTTCCACTGATCCACACACAATACCCAACTCACAACAGCCATTTGAACCACCGCTCCAAAATTGCCACTACAGTTTTACTGCCCCCACTAACAAATACCTCAGGTTCCATCTATACCAAATCACGTTCCATTAACCACATATCCAGCCAAAAATTACACATCCTTCATTAATTCCACCTTCATCTTCCAAGACTCCTGAGTCAGAAATCCAGCTTAAATTCTTCGATCGCTACAGGTGTGAAGTCCGTATCAAATTTCTTCCCCTATCGCTGAAGCCCCTTATTCTCGATTTTTCTAGCTGGTTTCACACTACAGCAAACCACCACCAAAAGGAGATATTGGAGGACAGGAAAAGCATTTGGGAACTTTACATAACAGATCTGCAGGCCACTTTGTCAAATTAATTGAAACTAAAACAGGAATTTATGGTGCATTATTGGCTGCTTTAATTGTACGCTACCAGTAGCTCGTGTTGAAACTTGTGAGGTATATCGATTTTATTATTTGATAACTCTACTTTCTATTTAGGTGATAGTGGCCCATAAAACTTCATAGTTTCCATTAAAAAAAAAAAGAAACATAGTGTAACAACCCAAATTCAACAATCCTTATTATCAATCAAGGTAGGACTACGAGGTGTAAGTGTTTTGTCCCATTTAAATTATAGTTTTTTTCATGTTGATAAATTATTGTACTTATGAAAGTTATGAAATGATACGATGATTTCAATGTGATATGAAATGACCATCCAGTACCAATGATATGATATACTATGAGCTCTCACTGGTTTCAAATGATATGATAACGGTATGATTATTTTTGAAGCATGATCTAAATATTTTATTCGGGATCGCACCACTATTTTCGTGTCCTACTGAGTATTCCCCTGTATTTACCCTTTTCACTACTCCTCACAGGTAAGAACAGGTCGTTGATTGGCAAGCGATATGGTGCTGTCGTGGTGCCAGGATATTCGAAATTAATAAATCAAATCCACATAAGGTAGCGAAATATTTTAATTTCAACATTATTTTGGTTTCTTAGGTATTTTATTTTATGATTTAAGGCATGATTTAGTTGGTTTTACATTAGTGGGATTAATACTTTATCATTTAGTTAATAAATGTGAAATGCGTGATTTTTAAAAAATATTTTGTTTGGCCATGAGCTCCTCCTATTAATTAAATCGCACTCATAAAATTTATGTGTTTTCACTGTTAAAATAAATGAATTGGGTGAGATTTCAAATCCTTAGAATTTGGGTCATTACAAAGAAATAAAATAAAATAAAAACCATTGCTTTGCCTAGCACTCCACTCAACACCATGTCCAATTCTTATAACAATTCTTACGCTTACAACGTCCTTAGCTCAATATCGGGATCAAATACCCTGCCCTTTCACTTTATACAATTATCCTCCATCTAGAAATTTTGGCGAGGACGTACATTCTCCTTCTCAGTAGGTCGCATTCTAACTATAGGACTTTGATGGACCCAAAGCACCTGACTCATTTCTTGATTAGCTTGATTCTCTTGAAAAATTTCTTGATTTTCACAACTTAAATGACTCTAATCATCTTTGTCATGTTAAAATGGCACTTGTCGAATCTGTTAGGTGTTATCTAAAATCATTTTTGTGTAACATTGATAACCTAAGTGTCCTATCACTTTGTGGGATAAGATGAAATGAATTCTAAGTAATAAATATGTTCCAGTCTATTATTTAACCCAATTATTTAATAACTTATTTTTGCATTGTAAGCAAGGTACTTTCACTGTTAGTGCGTTTCTAGCCACTTCTAAGAATTATTATACAGTTGTTATAGTTATGAAACACCCCACATCACAGCGTTTAGGTTTATCGATGGTTTGAATATTGAAATCTTACCTTATAATATTCTTGCATTCTAATCCGTAGATAACGCTTACTGCCAGGCCAACATATGGGACATCCTTCTATCTTCGCCAAGCATGTCATAAGCTAGGTCTTATCACCCCAGTCCTTATAGTCATCTTCCGAGTATTAGTGTTGCTCATGAAGAAAAAATCGAGGTTTCTATTGTTGAGCCAATTAAAGTATTCTGATAGCGAGGATGAGAAATTATCTATTGTTACCAACTAGGTCAGACATCCCACCTATCCTCAATTTCATGCCGAAATCGCTCTTGCCCGATTCTTTGTGTGATTAGAGTTGCCTTGGATATGACTTTCTCCACGGGCTAATACTTCCCTGTTGACACGTTTTCCAAGGTCATTGTTCATTCACACTCTCGGTGTCAATTGTTACCTACTAATTACCGTCATATTGTTTTAGCTTCGTAATATATTGACTTTCATGTCGAGTTTAAGAGACATTTTTTCTCCATGAAACTTTTGAGCTTGCATTTGACGCACCATTAGGCACAGATACTTTCATGGTGATTTTTGTCTTATTACGTATTTTTTGGCATGGTTTCCGAATCATAGTAAGGAAAAAATTGACATTCTCACTTGAACTTAATCTATTTGATTGACCACTACACTTAAATAAATGTTTTGATTTCAATATAGCAAAATTGTTTTCTTATCAAGACACATTCGAACCATCGTTGTCGCAATCATTTGTTTCTGGACGCCCAATCTCATGTACTAGTACATTGTGCTACTCCTAAATTTAGTGATAACTGTAGTGGATGAACTTCATGTTGTTTATTAAGGTTCTTTCTCACTACTTGATCAAAAGGAAAGACCGTCCACCTTGGTTAATTAAGATGTTTGGGACTGATATTCCATTTCAGTTGTCATATAGTTGGTTCCATTATTTGGTCAGAGTAAAGATTGCCCTCCTTAGTTAAGAAGTTGCAATCTATATCACGGGTGTCGAGTTTTCTCATCCAGTGAGAAATAATGGAGTATTAGAAGGGATATTATTATATTTAGTTTACAATTTTAATGCGTATGACAATTGTAGAAGAAGGGGAAAGTGAAGAGGAGAAATGAAGAGAGCAGAGAAAAATTGGGGTAGAATATTAATTTATTTCATTATCAAAAGTTGTTCTATTACAAAGCAATAAAGCATAAGACCCCTTTATACAAGGATTCAATAATTATATTCTAAGTAGAAAATATATAATAAAAGCTATTAAATTAAATCCTAATTATGTTTCCTAAATGTGCATTTAAATTGTAAACTAAATATAATAATAACCTTTAAATACTCCATCACTTAATCTTTACAGCTGAAGAACTTGAATTGGGCTTCTTTAGTCCTGGCTTATCAAACTGGTAGCCAAATTCCATGTAACTTTTACTTCAAATTTTTGTCCAATCAGTAAGCTCCCATAGCCAGAATGCTCCAGGATTGTAAGTAAAATTTTAGCATTGATAGAATCACACTTTGGACATGTTGGCGGTGGTTGACTAATGGTTGTGATGGCGATTAATGATGGCGCAATTGACCCTAATAAGGCAACTTTAGAGATGGTGCTTGTCGGAGGTGGAGGGTCTCATGGTTGGGACTGGGTGGTGTGGGATGGTATGGTTGGGAAAGAAGATATTTTCATTTTTTTACCCCTTTTTCTGTAGTTATTTTTATCCTTTTTTCTCTTTTATGTTATTTGAGAGGCGGGTACAACTGTCTCTTTACCAAATGGTTGAATTCTTCCACTGAAAATCTATTTTCACAAAATTATATATGTTGAGGACCAATGTCCTCAGTTTTAAGGGTTGGACTCCGTATCCACAATCCTTCAACGATTACGGATCCTAGCCCTAATTTTGCCTAGACCAAAAATAGTGTCCTTTTTCCTAAATTAGAATAGACATTTTATAAAAGTCCAAGAACGATGCAACCACAAAATTCTAGGCCACCAACAGTGGAAATAAATAGTAACAGTTATGCTAAATATTAACTTTCTCTATTCTCAACTAAAACTTTATGCCAGATGAAATTCTGCAATTAAAGATGATGCAAAATACTAAGAAAATATTTCATGTGAACAAAGCTGGACAAAAAATAAATTTCAAGCAATAGTGTATGATATAGGCTTAATTTCAATTAGATGGAGCTGAATCTCAAGGAGTGCTCAATACATTTATCCCTGCATCAACCAACCAAGGACTCGTGACCGTGCCTTTTCTTATCCATTTCTTTGACCCTCACTCCAAACCAACAACCAACCAAGCCTTATACCTAACAAACTTGGATCAGAAACATGAATCCTTTTTTGCCACATTCAATTCACCGCTACATCAATCAAAGGGTCTAATGGAATCAATTATTTTGCAATTACACCAACCAGTGTAAATTTTAGTACGCCTCTCTCTCTTCCAAAAAGAAAAATTCGCAAAACCAAATAATAAAGGAAAAAAGGTACAGAAGGAATCCTAAAGGTTCTCCAAGTTTTAAACTTTTTGCTCAATTATTTGCCCCAGCACTACATAACACCCTCCGGTTAGTAAGTTTTCATCTGTTCCTTAGGTGGAGCATTAAGGCAGTCACTATTTTGATTTCTTCGTTCCAAAATCTTGAATGTCCCAAAGGGTATATACCATCTGTCCCAAAGGGTATATACCATCTGTCATCTTGTTCTACACTCCTACTTATAATACTATCACACATATCCTTCCATCTTCCAATCATTCTCATACAGAATTGCACCCAACTACAACCTCATTGGACTGTTTAACATCTGAACTGAAACAAACATTGGCTTAACAGAGATACCAAAAATGCAGCAACAGTTATGCACAAGATACCAACCTGAAAGATATATAGTCCGCTTGATTTGCAAAAGTGATAATACGTTTTGTATCTGGCTTGGGAACTGGAAATAAATGCTTTAAAATGTTCGCTGTCCTTTGACCAGTCTGCCAAAAATTAACAGTTCGATAAGAGAAGTAACCATTAAATGACTTAGCCAATAAGCCACAACACACCCTCCCATAAAACAACATATATCCAAGAATCATGACACACCAAAGCACCCCAATACTTCAATACCTAGTCGCATTCCCATTGCTTACATAATTATATAGACTTATAAATTAATGAGACACTGAATGTTAGATGCATGCAAAAGTCAGTGTAAAGTAATACCTGTCTAGTGAAATTGTTAAGAATCAAATGTGGGTAAGCCTCAGGCATTGTTCCAATAGCCTTTTTGTCCTTGATATCGTGTCTTGTAACCTACAAAAGGTTGGTGGGTCAACATGTCTTGGACTGCAAAATGGTTTGAAGAAGTGTATACAGGTAGGTAAATTACTTACCACATTTAGTAATCCAAAGTAAGCAGTTGGACCAAAAGGAAGATGGCTTATAATCATACCATCTGGCACACCACGATGTTCATGAACTAAAATAACATCTGTAAAATCATGTGCTTTGCAGGTTTCAATAATTTCAGAAATAACCTGAGAAGAATTGGAACAAGGATTATCAACTAGTTCCAAAGATGTATGATTTGATGATAACATACAGAAAACTCTCATTCGATCAACTCCAGTTGACTCTGTCATCTTGTGAAGTCAATATGATATATGTTCTGTGTTCACACCTCAGTGAATAATATCCATGAAAATATTGGACGGAAAAATTCTAAGCATGAACCTAATTAAATTTCATCATGATGTAGTAATATACCAATTGACTTCCAGAAAGAACCTGTGCAATGGCACAACATTTTTGCTATTTGTAAAGGACATCAGGATTTTGTAAATAATTACCACAATATTCAGATTGAAATATTTGTTCTCTCAAGTCCATATTACATTCAACGACTGCTAATTGGAAATTGCTATAATTATGAACATTACCATAGTTATTACAGTGCAAATAATTATTTAACATGTCTATTCTGTCATGTAAGTATAGGCTTTGTCAACCTGAGAGTTCTACAGTTCATCTCCACTATGCGGCTAAGTTCAGTACAAGATTATGAACCATGACACAATCACAATTTGAAAAGCTTGAAAATTCCCACAACTTTTCCCACATTGCAGTCCGCTCTCTGTACATTCAAAGAACTAAAAGTTTGTCCCATATGATAAGACATCTAATAGAATTTGTACAAAAAGTACATATCGCTCATCTTTACACCTCTATAACTCCATTGAACAATTACCACATAAATAATGCATTAAAAGCAGCAAAATTAGAAAATTATGATAAACAGATGGACCAACCTGAGCACCACGATTCATTCGTTGTGCATTGGGGAAGACGAACTTCAATTCCTAGGAAAAGAAAACAAATATCTATTACTAAATGATATATGCAAAAACATAAACCAAAAAGAAACATATCATTAACAAATCCAAGTTCATATAAACAGAGCAAAAATTTGAAAGTTCAGAGACTAGCCTAACCTTCACAAACTGTGTAAGAGGAGCGCTGGGATTGCGCGATGTGGTAAGCAAAATCTTAGGATCTCTATCAGCGGCATTTGCATATTCATCATCAATTGTTGAACGAGGAACTACATAAATATAATCGGAATCAGGATATCAGACATCAATAGATAAAATGGCATCAATTTCACCTTGAAAATGAAAAAATTGAGAGAATATTATAGCCGAACCAATTATAGGAAAGTCAAACTTTACATGTTTCTCGTGTTAAGCCGGTCAGTGACATGACGAGCTTTACAATTAAAAACATATTCTCATAGAACAAGGCTTATACTTTTACATAAACATGGTGAAACTAATTGGTATTTGGCATGTATAGATCAGTAACATTCTGATGTCATATGTGATCATATTTTATGACATTATCTAGGCAAAGACAAGCTAATACAATAGTTTGAGACTAAGTTTCATTTCACAATTCAAATTTGATTTCCAGATGAAGAGCTAAGCTCCATCCTGTAGGATTTTTATTTTTCCCTTAACTGAAACACAAAGCTATAGATTAGACAGTATGGTTACTTGATCAAACAGAGCGCTCTCTGAGGATAATTGTAGACTTATACTTCACCTTACATCTTAGTTCTATAAGTTCAAAATTCTCATGCTGGTCCATTCTAAACTCAACTCACCCAACCCAGAGAAAATCATGCAGAGGCTTATTTACGAAATGGCTTCATACTTCACCTCACTGCTTACTTAGTTAATACAAAAATAAAAATAAAAATAAAATAAAACAAAAAAGTAGAAGGAAGATTAGGCATGTTTTCCAAAGAGTTGAAAGCTAGTAGTAAACAAGTTAGCTAGCTGAAGTAAGAAAGTCAAAAAGTAGCTGCTCTCCTACCTCCAATGTGGATAAACGCCGCTAGACATAAACTGAGTGAGAGTTGAGCTCCTAGGTCTTTCCTTCCCAGTTAGGAAAGAAAGATGAAAACAATTTGTTTATGTAGACCACAATTCACATCTTTTGACACCAATTACTGGAACATGGATCCCCTTTGATGCACGATTCGTTCTTTTGGGATCTTATTTACCAAAAATTTGCTTTTGGGATCTTATTTACCAAAAATTTCTTTGGCTCGTATGTTCTAAATTGACACTAGAAGGGACATCAACTCAACCCAAGGGAAATCATGCAGAGGCCTTCTCTACAATAACTACTAGAAAGGATACCACCATATGGATTGAAGTTATGTACTACATAATATATATGGCTTACCCACACAAGAATGGAGAAGGCAGGAGCATTGCACAAAATGTATTTATGAGGGATAAACCACTCGCACCAAGGACTTATAAGTGTTTAAAAGTTCTTGTTGTACTTTCTTCGTCGAATGATGAAAGATTTGTGAAAAAGCGCATACGGATTCACCTTATTCAGGAAGGATTGGGACTCAAAAGGCACAGTAAAGAGATCATTAGCCCTCTTTACTCTGTGTAGGGTTTGAGAGAGGTATCAACAAGAAAGATCAAGACCATCCCACTGAACCAGCCATCTTAGATAAAAGGAATAAAAGCAGGCAACTTACTATGCTAATTACTGCAAGAATGTCCTCGTCTAATGCACAAACTCAGAAAGTCAGGGACATGATTGTGGTATTTCCATATTCGCAGCAGTGATCATGCTCTCATAAATGAGTAATCATACTCTGGCTGCAAGAACTTGACTTAATCTCATCCTACATATGCTCAGACCTTCTTCAAGAGAATAATAATAATAAGAAAAGGATTGTTGTCCATGAACAGGCTCTTCCTCTTTGTCAACAACAATGAGAATCTGCGGGTTTGTATACTTGACTTGTGAAAGATAATGGCAAATGGATTATTCCAAAAAAAGGGGGTTGGGTAATTAGGTTAGCACCCCTCATTGCCTCAGTAGTATAAACAGATGACTAAGCAAAGTTTGACAGATTTTTGCTTGCTAACTCAATCTGTTAATGATATACTATGATAAGCTAGGCCCATAACAGAAATGGTTGAATGTTTGCATGTTGAGCAGTATAAAAGCCTTGGAGTGGTGAGTGAAATATCTGAAATCCCATCCAATAAATTTGCAAGCTGAGCTTGGCATTGCTTGCAAAGTTCTACATATAGAATATGGCTAAAACTTGCCAAGCTATTAAAAATAAAAAATCAAACTCTCCATGAAAGCTTCCAATAAAACACTTCGATGCAAAATAAGTTACCTGTAGTTCAGGTGGTCAAAGTTAACGAGTTTGCAGTCACCTAGAAACGTTAAAAATATTGATGATATATCATACATGCCCACTATAGTATGAATTCAATTTATTTCATCTGCAATTTTTCTTCCATGGAAAATCTTAAAATAAGAAATAATATTGTCAAACCAGACCAGGTCACTTCACTGCCAGCAAAGGAGGAACCTATTAATTGAACTTCGCTGGAGCAATTTTATTTGCAATTTTTTGAGTAAAATAGAAGGCATTCTTCTGAGTAAAATTGGGACAGATGACAGTAATTTCATTAATAAAATACACCATATACAAGCAAAAGAAGTCAACTTGATGCTTATTCATCCATCCTATAGTTCTCAAAAAATTTCACTGACCACACATTCGTTCCAAATTTCAACGAAAAGAAGCCCCTGTTTTCTTATTGGTTATTCTGCTAACAAAAAATTTAAGAAAGGCTCTCATATCTCAAACTTAACACACTATCTTTCTTCTCCCAAATCTAAGATCAGAAACAAACAAAGAAATAATTACTACCATACATATTGAAAATGGGAGTCTGCCTACATTTCTTCATATCCAGAACCAAGTCTGGATAAAGAATGAAGGTTCTGGTGTTCTGGTCTTAATATGACACGAATCCTTCTATGCATATTATGTTTATTCAAGCTATACATCATAGAATTGGAGGCGCATACCAGCTGTATTTTCATCTTCAAGGTCAATTTCTTGTCGAAGGGCTGCCTCTTCATTCCTGAGCTCAGTAGGAATCGGTTTACCCTCTGTCCATAAGCAAATAAATAAAATTAAAACTGTTAGCAATCTACACAAAGATTAGACCTTTCTTTTTTACTTTAAGTAAAAATAAGTATTTCTTATTTTTCTAATTACCTTCCAAGGCTTCTCTGATTTTGCGCTTCTTTTCGTAGAGCAAACGCTCTTTTCCTTCCAAGCTTTTCCTGTAGAGATACTCTCTCCTTAGCCTTACGTTTCTTCTCAACATTATCTCAAAAACGCAGAAATTATCTCTGGTTCAACTCCGACTTCACTGACTGATCAACAAGAAATACCCAAAAATCTAACAACAAATCAAGAATTTCACTACCATTTAAACAAATTCTTACTTCAATACACAAACATAGATATATGTAACTGCGAGAAGTTGAGCGGCGGTGGAAGGGTTTTAATGCGTCAGACAGACCAAAGCAGCGTGGGGTTTTGTTGAGCGGATGTTTCGGCTTTTACCCCTGAATTTTGCTTAATGTCAAATAAAGCACAAGGAAAAATTGAAATTTACAATTGCCCCCTGATTTATTTGTCATTTACATCTAACCATTTATCGAAGGTAAAATAATGGGGAATTTGGCCCAATAGCTTAACTTAACAATGTATTTAGTTAAATGGCCTTTGATCAATAATAAAAAAAATTAAAAAAATGCAAAATATTTTAATTGGTAAAATGTCAAAATTCTCCTTTAACTTTTCTTATTTCATCCCTCCATTTCTCCTCCAAATTCACCTTAAACTCCTAATTTTTTTTTTAAATAACATCTTCTTCTTCCCGTTTTCATCTTTTTCAATTTTTGATCCTCAAAATTATAACAACATATTTTCTTCTCTTCAATCACCATTCTTGCTACCATAAAATTATGTTCTTTGTTATATTTCTTCACTTACTTTGGGTATCTTTTGAGTGAAGAAATATGCTCTTAGAAATCGCATCTATGTTGTATTTTTATTATTAAACAATATTTAGTTGGTATTGTTTTGGTATTTAGTGTGTTTTTTGTGCTATATGCAACCATTAAATGTAATAGCACTTCAACTACTACACGAAATACAGAACACCACTCCAGTCGTCATCTGTAAAGTAAAACGATACACAATCGTTATCTGCTGTAGTTTGATTTTTTCAATAAAATGACCTCTAATAATAGATTCGCTAATGTATATAATATAAAAAATTGACTAGTCAAAAGGAACGATTGAAATGACATATTTTATATTATTGAGACGATAAAAGCACAAGTCATCACACTTATATGTGTCGATTAAATTAATGAACATATCTATCAACTTTTGCACGTGTCATGTACATATTACAATATAAATAAGTTTTACTTATTATTTTTTGGGAACAAACGGACCATAACTGTTTATACTCGTATTTATGCACGTAACAGCACAAGTGTCATCTTCATGTCCAGGAACGACACTTGTGTCGTTCTGAAAGTTTCATCTATATCCAATTTTTTCAACAAAACAATATTCAATAATGAACTTTCTAACGTATGTTACTAACATGAAAATGTTTATACTTCGTTAGGGGGTCCAATGTTTGAAATCATTGTGTTGGAATAAAATCAAACTATAGGAGAAATCAATAGAACGGCACAAAAGCCGTTACTGAAATGAAACGACCATTCCATGTCCTATCTTTAAATATGAGTTGAGAAATATGCTCATTAATTGTCAGTCTAGCCTCCCAATGATGGCACAATTGCTGTTATGATTGTAAATTTACTTATCCATGATATCGACACTTGTGCCGCCACTAAGGTGAGAATGTCTATAAGAACTTTACAGCTGTCACTATGCTTATAAATATACTTGTCTATAAAAATAGCACTTGTGTCATTGCTGAGATGAAAAGTCTATGAGAACGGTATTAGCGCCATTACTAGAATTAAAAGTTCTAAGAGAACGATATAAGTGATGTTGCCAAAATATAAACTTCTATTTTTACTTTAAGGACAACACAACTTAAAGTGTTCAATTCTAAAGGTCGTACCTTTGGAAACAAACGAAAATAAAGGAAAAATCAATAGAATAACTCAAGTGTCGTTACTGATAAATAAAACGGCACTTGTATCATTCTATCAATAATTACGAGTTTAAGCAGTCACAACCGTCCTTGAGTCAAGAAATAACTTAAACTCAATTAAGTTGCAAGGTGGACATAACATTTTAAAAAAATTAAGAGATATGCTCATTACTTTTATTTTGTTGAAAACGATAGAATTACATGTACTTTCAACAACTTTATATCAAATAATTTTACATCATTTCAATCATTTTTTGTCACGTGATTTATTTTTCTCACATACTTTACAGATCCAGTGTTTGAGGATGAAAGGTCATTGAGAACGACACTTGTGTTGTTATTAAAATGAAAAGTTCTAAAAGAACCGAACAAGTGCCGCTTAGAGGATGAAAATGTCATTAAGAACGGCACTTCTGTCATTACTGAAATGAAAAGTTTTAAAAAAACGACACAAGTGCCGTTATCGAAATATAATTTCTTCATGAGAACAGCACTTGTGCTGTTACTTAAAGAAAGTTACACTTGTGTCGTTCTATCTATAAACAAGAGTATAGATAACCTTGAAACTCATTTCAACTGCAAGATGGATATGTCGTTTACAAAAATTAAGAAATGTTCTCATTAATTATATTTTCTAAGAATCAATACAATGACTTATGATTTCACCAACTCGACATCGTATAACTTACGTCAATTCAACCGTTCTTTGTTAGGTGATCAACATTTCTAACTTTGTTACATGATCAACATTTCTAACTTACTTAACTTGGGGGATCCATATTTAAAGTCGTTACGTTGGAAAAGAAGCAAAATTTGAGAAATCAACATAACGACACGAGAGCTGTTAAACGACACTTGTGTCATTCTATCTATAAACATGAGTGTACATAGTCACGACCCATCCAAGCCCCGGGAATCAATAAGTTGAACTCATTTCAATTGCAATATGTACATTCTGTTTACAAAAGTTGAGAGAGTGCTCATTAATTATATTTCTAACGAATCAATGCAATGACTTGTGATTTCACCAACTCAATGTTGTTTGTCACGTGATCAATCTTTCTAACTTTCTTAAGTTATGAGATTTATGTTTGAGGTCGCAGCGCTAAAAAAGAAGCAAAATATTTGAAAAACCAGCATAATGACGAAAGAGCTGTTAAACGACACTTGTATCGTTCTATCTATAAATATAAGTATACATAGCCACGACCTATCATATCCTCGATAATCGATGATTTGAGCTCATTTCAAGTGCAAGATGGACACGCCGTATACAAAGTTTGAGAGATGTCCTCATTAATTATATTTTTTAACAAATGTAGATAACGACTTGTGATTTCTCCAACTCTATATCGTATAATCTATGCGAATTTTACCGTTATTTGTCACATTGTCAACATTTCTGACTTTTTTAAGTTAGGGGGTCCAATACTTGAGGTCGTTGTAGTGAAAAAGATGCAAAATATCGAAAAAATCATCGAAACAGTACAAGTGCCGTTAAACGTCACTTGTGTCGTTCTGCCTTTAAACACTAATATAAGTCGCCACGACCCGTCCTATCCTCGATAATCGATGATTTGAGCTCATTTCAGTTGCAAGATGGACACGTCCTGTACAAAGTTTGAGAGATGTGCTCATTAACTATATTTTCTAATGAAGGTAGATAACGACTTGTGATTTCTTCAACTCTATATCGTATAATTTATGTGAATTCTACCGTTATTTGTCACATGGTCAATATTTCTGACTTTCCTAAGTTAGAGGGTCCTAAACTTGAGGTCGTTTTAAAACGTCGCTTGTGTCGTTCTGTCTTTAAATATTGGTATGAGCCACCACGACCCGTCTGATCCCCAATAATCGATGATTTGAACTCATTTAAGTTGTAAGATGGACACATTGTGTACAAAGTTTGAGAGATGTGCTCACTAATTATATTTTCTAACGAATGTAGATAATGCCTTGTAATTTCTCCACTCTATATCGTATAATCTATGTGAATTCCATTGTTATTTGTCACATGATCAACATTTCTGATTTTTTTAAGTTAGGGGGTTCAATGCTTGAGGTCATTGTGATGGAAAAGATGTAAAATATTGGAAAAATCATCAAAACGGCAAAAGTGCTGTTAAATATCACTTGTGTCGTTCTGTTTATAAACATGAGTATACGTAGCCACGACCCATCTATACCTCAAGAACCAATAAGTTGAACTAATTTCAGTTGAAAGATGGGCATGTTGTTTACAAAAATTGAGAGATGTGCTCATAAATTATATTTTCTAACTATTCAATATAATGGCTTATGATTTCACCAACTCAATATTGTATAATCTATGTTAAATTTCAATCATTTTTTGTCACGTGATCAATCTTTCCGACTTTCTTAAGTTAGGGGATCCAAAGTTTTGAGGTTGTTGCATTAGAAAATAAGGAAAATATTTGAGAAATCAACAGAACGATACAAGAGCCATTAGACGACGCTTCTGCCGTTCTGTCTATAAACACAAGTATATGCTGCCACGACCCATCCATGCCTCAAGAACCAATAAATTGAACTCATTTAAGTTAAAAGATGGGCATTCCATTTAAAAAAGCTGTGAGATCTGTTCATTAATTATATTTTCTAACAAATCAATACAATGACTTGCGATTTCGCCAACTCGATATCGTATAACCTATGTCAATTCAACCGATCTTTTGTCACGTAATCAACCTTTCTGACTTTTTTAAGTTAGAAGATCCAAGGTTTGAGGTCGTTGTGTTGGAAAATAAGCAAAATATTTGAGAAATCAACAGAACGAAATCATAGCCGTTAAACGACACTTGTATCATTCTGTCAATAAACACAAGTATACGCAGCCACGACCCATCCATTCCTCGAGAACCAATAAATTGAACTCATTTAAATTGAAAGATGGACGTTCCGTTTACAAAATTTGTGAGATGTGCTTATTAATTATATTTTCTAACGAATTAATACAATGATTTATGATATCACCACCTCGATATCATATAATCTATGTTAAATCAACCATTTTATAATGTAGTCAACCTTTCTATCTTTTTTAAGTTAGAGGATCCAGTGTTTGAGGTCATTATGTTAGAAAATAAGCAAATTATTAGAAAAATCAACATAATGACATAAGAGTCATTAAACGACACTTGTGTTGTTCTATCTATAAGCACTAGTATATGCAGTCATGACACATTTATGCCCTGAGAATCAATAAGTTGAACTCATTTTAGTTATAAGATAGACATGTCGTTTACAAAAGTTGATAGATGTACTAATTAATTATATTTTATAACGAATCATTACAATGATTAGTAATTTCACGAACTCAATATCTTATAGTTTATGTTAATTCAACATTTTTTGTAACGTGATCAATATTTC